CTCTCCTGAGAGTTTACACGTGCCTCCTAACCAGTTGCGGAAAGTTAGAAGAGAAAACTCTCTCCGTGTAAACGCGCCTTAAGGCAATTCCTGAATCTGAGACTGAAAACTTTATTTAGACTTTTAATCTAAGAGTATACTGGTAGTCTTGAAGTCAAAAAACGAAACTGCGATCAGTGTCGTAATTAGAGCTTTTACGATACAAGTGTCCTTGGTTCTTTATTAACAAAAATAATCATTTGTGTAACGCAAATAATATTAGAACAGACCCATGGCATAACTATTATCAACGTCAGTGCCTCTGGAGCACTAAGGGCCAAATTTAAACGAAAATTATAGTTAAGAATATTTCATAAAAGCATCCAACATTCTACGACATTCGAACATTATGTTACAGTATTCGTTTAGTTATCGAATTCGACTTAACAGCATCGTTTGATAATTTTCCAATGTCGTATTGTGATAAGGCGTCTTACGATACCTCGGTCGTAAATAACAATTTGATAACCATAATCCAGTCTGTAGGTACTGAAAAAAGGGCGGGTTACCTGGAAGAAAATCATAAAAATGTTTTCTTTCAATATGTTATGTGTACTCAGGCAATAGTTAAACCCCCTTTTTTCTCTACCACTCAGACCTTCTGCTAACTCCGGGATGTCAGGAAATACGTTTTTCTGGTTTATTTCGGTTTTTCTCTACAGCTCTTTATTCTTGAGTCATGTAGAAAAAGTTCAAATCGGTTTTAGAGAGGATGAAATTTTCTACAACTTTTATACGAGTATAAATCATTTTTTCGATACAAATTATCAAGCGAGCTATAACGTTTAAAAAAATTGCTATTTTTTCGATTCTCAAAAATGTGTACAAAAATACAAGTTTGTGATATTACAAACAATATATATTTAATAGAATTATTGTTACTTGTAATACTATTATTTATCTCATCGTCGGTGTAAACATTGCCTCTTCAATGTACCATTGCTGAAAATTATATATATATATATATGTACATACATACATACATACATATATATATAAAAAGTATATGCGCGTGTTCGTGTTTCAGCTTAATTCTTGAACTCGAGAACAAATTCATTTCAACAAAACTTGATATACATTATTACTGGGGTATTATAACGGAGAAAAGAATAAGCTGGGTGTTAGACACTCGTTTAAGGGTGAGTGGGACGGGAGTGATATACATATACATACACAACCATTACGCAATCCGCAATGCACATCCAGCGAGTATGTGCCTTGAGCGGGGAAAGCTACTGCAGTGACGGGCAGAGCTATTTAATAGATGATTGTGATAAGTATACACATCCAAAATTTTAAAGGGAATAACATTTCCGACCACTGAATGATTTTTAACGTACTTCTTAGCGACTTTACTGTCTCAGATCAGAACACGATGGTTGTAGATTGGTATGCGATGGTAGGAACCGCCTGCCACATGATACATGGGGCCTGCATTTTGTTATTTGGATGGTAGCAATTTAGTAAATTATTATTCCAGTGCTGTTGGAACAAGTCGTTCTTTGTTAATTTCAATGCTGCCTCAACGTTCGCTGTAGCTCTGCCATTAGTGCCGTGCATCGTCGCAATGTTTGGTGCTGAGATGGCGCATTCGCCGAGGGAATAAGGTTTTAATTATCGTACGAATTTGTAAAAATGTGAGATTGTCGCGAAAAACAAAGATTTCAGGTTTCAAAATTCATAATAAAAAATAGTCTCTTCAGTTACCATAAAGATTGGAGCAATTTACTGTTAATTG